TAGGTTTAATAAGATTTTGTTAGGCTCTAAGAAGAGGTTGTGTGAGGTAGTTTGACCCAAAATGAATCCCCTCCCAATTATTTGTAATTGAAGGCACAAGGTACACTTCTCTTCAGGTGTCCCAGTATTTGAAGAGTCTTCACCCTAGATGGCATTGCACATGGTAAGCACATTTACAGTAATAGGCTTTTCAGTCCTCAGTAGCACCAGCTCAGGGCATCCAGTGTGCACGGTAAAACAATGAGGTTTTAAACTGACAGGAGAGAAAAAGAAATGGGGTGTGTATGGGAAGCCACAACCATCACAGAATTCTGTTGTGGTAGTTGGTTTCTGTGTTATGGATTTCTTAAGGGAAGTGTAAAAAGAATGCAGATATCTCTCATTTACAGTGGAAGATTTGTGGACAAAGGCTCTTATTCTTCTTGAATGTCTGTGTGATGACCCCTCCCCAACCATGTAACAGTTTCAATAAAGTACATAAAATAACAGATTGAGCCATAAGAGACCCAAGAAATGGTGACTTAGTTCTAATTCCTTCTCCAAGTGCGTATTGCTCAAGACCTCACAGCACCTTGGAACCACAGGTAGAACTGGATCCCTGGGGCGTCGTCAGCTCAGAGACCAGATTCCCAAGTTGGGACTTGCAGGCTTGGAGAACTGAGCTGCTCACTTAGCCCTTACCCTTTGTCYCCAGCTTCTAACTCTGCCTAAATTCTCTAGCCGTTTTCGTAAACCCACCCTGATAGTACTAGGCTTAGTCCTGTGAACCCAGCACAGTTGAGTGCTGTAAACCCAGTACTTCCAGGAGGAACCAGAAGGGGGAGGTGGGGAGGGAGCCCGCCCTGCATCTGCATCAAGGCCGGGGTGTTCCTGCCCACTTGTAACACACCAGGGAAGGGCTCAGTCTGTGGTCTGTGGTGGTCTGTGGTCTCTGGGACGCTCTTCCCTGTGTTCTCCACCTCACCTTCCTTCTTTTTGCTCCGTCAAGGTCCTTTTTCTTGTCTTCCAATTCTGTGTGTGTGTGTGTGTGTGTTGGTGTGCCTCTGTGTGTGTGTGTGTGTGTGTGTGTGTGTGTGTGTGTTGGTGTGCCTCTGTGTGTGTGTGTGTGTGTGTCGGTGCGCCCCCACCCCCCATAGGCCTGCAGGTGTGATGAATTTACTCTGAACACAGAGTTCTCAGGACACCTTTTCCTTGCATCCTTCCCCCCCAGGGTGGCCATCCCATTTTCTTCCCTTAAGGTTTTTTCAAAAACAATTCATTATTAAAAGATATTATATTTAAATAGATGAAAGAATTGAAGGATCATATGAGATTATGTATTACTGAATGCTAAAATGTTTATAATTTGAGCTTAGTCTGCTTGTGAGAGAGGGACATGCAAAGTAGTTATTGATAATTCAGGGAAAAAATGTGATTTTGACACATTTATAGCTTTCCTAAATGTTATAGCTTTGCAGAGAGCCTGAAATTAGACTGGAATGAGGTGGAGACATTTTTACATTGAAAAGAGGTGTGATTTAGTCAACCAGAATCTAAATTTTTAGAATTATATGGTACATTTTATAATTCTGTGATATAGAAGTCTGTGCTTATTCTTTTTTCATAGTCAAATAAAAGATATATATGCCCTTTTTAAAAAAAGGGCAAATAAAGATACATATCCTTCCATGTCAGTTATCCCTGTCTCCAACAATATCTAATAGAATTTTCTTTCTTTATTGATGGGAAGAAAGTATTTCTATATATAATATTAATGAGATATAAACATGGCCAGTCGGTAACGTCTTTGGAAATGATATAGACATTTCAGTCTTTGCAGTGTTGAATTTGTGTGGGAATAGCAGGCTGTTATACATGTATTTTGTCTGSCCATTTTTCTCTGCCCTTCCTCTCCCAACCCAAAATCTGAGTAACCACACCACGAAGCCACATATGATCACTGTTGCAGACAGAGTCCTCTGGGTATTTTTTGGTGTTGGTCGTTTGAAGAAAGAAAAAGCCAAAACCCACTTCTTAAGGTCTGAACAGTCTGTAGAGCTGTCTCTCAGGCATGAAGTCTGAGTCGCTGGGCGAGTGTGTATTTAGGGGAGGAACAGGCTGGATGTGTGCCCCCAGTAGCAAGCATCGCTCTGAATATTCCTGGCTGCAGCCACTGGAGAGAGAAGGGGCCAAGAGGGAGAAGGTCTGAGAATGGCCACACCCGGGACTCTGGGGGTTGCCACCTCTTTTACCTGCTGTCAGCCTTTTGCTCAGGTCTGTGCTCCATACTTCACTTGGTTCTTTAGCTGTGATCTGAGAGCTTAATAAATACCTGGAATGGGTGCAAAAAGAACAGAAGTAAAGACTGATAAGATCGAAGACTATGCGTGGAAAGCCTTGGCGCTTGACAGGTGGCGTCGTCCTTCCTATCCCTTATGAATGTGGAGCTCCCTCTTTTAGTTCTCTGGGGCCTTGCCAGAGTTCCCGTGCTCTAAGGTGGGAATGAGAGAAGGAATRGAAACACCAACCTTTTGGTGCCAGGGTGTGTTCAGTAGTATTTCCACTGGTAGGATCTCCGGCACTGTTCTTTCTCACGTTTAGCTTGACTTGCTTCATTCGTCCATTCTCTCCCAAGTCTTCTTTATGCTGTAGTTCTGTATTCATGGCACATTTGATTCTTCAGGTACAAGTCTCTGAAGTATGATTGGATAAGCATAAACCAAACAGGATGCCTTTTTGGTAGAAAATATGCTGATTCCAGGTGGTATACACTCATAACCTCTGCTGCTCGGGAGGCTGAGGTAGGAGGATTGATAGATAATTCAAGGCCATCCTAGGCAATTTAGCAAGATCCTGTCTCAAAATAAAAAGGACTAGGTTGTAGCTTAGTGGTAGAGTGCCACTGGGTTCATTCCCCAGGATTGCAAACAGACAAAAACTAAAAACATGTTTCTTAAGGGAACAGGGCTAGAGATTGTGTTATAGCCAGCACATAGAAAAATATAATTTCCAAGAMAGAGATTCCCCAGGACAGGGAATCCCTAAACTTAACATTCTTTTTTTCATCAAAGCTCATGACATTGGCTGAGATATTTGTCCTGTCTTAACTACATTCTTACATCCCTGAAAAGGTTGCAGGTAAATTCTCCTTGAGAACTAACTCAAAGGATCTTAGGAGGCATCTTTTTCTGTTTTTGATTTAGAAGCAATTGGTGTGATGCATGTTCCTCTCCTACCTTTGAAGACGAATCAGAATCCTGAAGCTGGAAAGCCTCTCAGGAAGTCTTGTGCTTTTCAACCTCTGAGAAAAACTAAAACACTTTGATTTTCCTTATTATTATGGCGATGTCGTCGGAATAAAAGGCGTTGGCATTTTTGCAGAAACACAGTGTTTAGGACCACGAGGAAACTGATTCAGAGTCTTGTTTTATCTCTTACCATTTAAAACAGGGCTGTGGACTTAAATGCATGCAAGGCTGGCCAGGTAACCTAAGTGAGGTGGGAGACTGGCAGCAGGACCATGGGGAGTGGTAGCGACTGAAGGGAAGGGAGAAGGTGTAACCTGTGCATGGGGTCGGGGGCACTCCTGATTTGCAGAATACTACAGGAACCCAACAAAATATTCCTCTCAATGGCAAAAGGCATGGTTGGCAGTAAACAGTGTCTTATTGAGAACAACATGTTTGTATTATTAGGAATGCTAGCTGGGGGGATTTGCCAATTTAAATAATAAAATACACGAAAGCCATTTTCCTCAAGTGTGTGGTTTGCCTGGTCCTCCAGCAGGCCCTCCTTTCTGTATACCTTAATCTTCTTCTGAAGCCAATATTTCTTTCCCCAGATATGTTAATTTTTGCAAGTTTCCTGTTCTTATGTCCTAGAAGTCTTTCAGTGTTCATTCCTCACTCCTAGAAGAATTTGTTCTGAATTTTCCAGTGTGGGATTCTATTCCCCGCAAAGAACCTAACCCCTGAGTCTAACCTTAGTCTTAGCCTCCGGCCCRCTTTTTGCATTTTACTGTTAGAGGCATGGCTGATCTTCTGGTAACACCCTTCATATTACTCAGTGGAAAATACCTTTTTTTCTCTTGTCTTTGGCATAAGTCTGCAAACTTAACTCTTATCATGCATTTATTTTCCAGTGCTCTGTAATTGCAATTACCTTTTTTTTTTTTCCCCTGAACTCTTTTCAGTCTCTGCAATAAAGGAAATAATATTCTGAACTCTACCTGGTCCTTTCCTGGGCTGATCAAGCTGGTGAGATAATACTCCTATGTTATTGCTTTTGTTGAAAAGCACCACACAGCTGGATCATATTCAGGGTACACGCTGACCTCAATATCTTCTCCCCCTCCTGCCCCTGTTGTAGTCAGGATTTCTTTGTGTTTTATCCACATAATTCATTCTTCATTTGTAAGTGCACTACCTTGTTCTCACAGCTAATAAGCACCAACATGTTTTTGATGGATCATTTCTATCTCTCATTTCCCAAGGTTACTTGGAATTCTGTTGTTTTTCAAATTAGAAACCTTCACTTAGTTTGGAGCCATAAAATTCGAATATTTTTAACTTCATTATGACAGGCATTGATTAAAAAAATATGTGGTCATRTTAGGCCTGGGAGTCTGGATGCTGCATTAAGTCATTTATTTCTATCACTGTTAACTCATAGTTTGCCTTTTAATAGTGTTTGAGACTCCATAAACATTTCTATCATAATTTCTTGCTTTCTTATAGAAACTTGAGTGATTTAGAATAATAACTTGGGGTTTGTGGTTGGTTGTAGTAGAGAGAAGAAACCTCCAAATTGTTTAATTCATACGTATGGTTTATATGCCATCATTTAATATTTTGAGTAGCAAGGGGAAGGAAAATAGGAAAGCCCTGGGATTGAGTATAAATATATTTTATACATATTTTTCTGTGTTGGACTTTGACGATGTCCATCCACTGGTCTTAAACATCATAGCATCCTAAATAGGTCAACATAATGAGATGCACCTTTTGTTCTTGTCTTCACAGGTTTCAGAAGGTGACCATAAAAAAGTGAAGAAGTTACATTTCTAATATGACACTTGGAAGTTAGTGACTGCTTACTACATTTTCATGAAAATAAAATATGACTTAGAGGCTTCGAAGGCTTATGATGTCATCGGTTTCAACAGAAAGCAAACTCCAGCAGGCTGTGAGTCTGCAGGGAGTTGACCCGGAAACATGCATGATCGTATTTAAGAACCACTGGGCACAGGTAAGGTATGAGCTGGACCTTCCCTTCTGGCCTCAGTGGCCCCAGAGCCACCATGACCCCAAAGCAGGGTTTCCTATGTCTGTGACAGATAACTGGGTTTCCAAAAGCAGAGGGAGGGAAACCTTTCAGATGGGAAGAAAAGGAACCTCTCATCTTGTTTACTTGGAACAAGTCTCTGTTAAAGACTCTGGTTTTTACAAAAGCATTTAAAGAACATGCACATTCCTTAGATGTTTTTTGGAAAAACAGATGTTTCTTACAGTGACTTTTACATCACTTTGCAATATACTTGATCATAATAACTTCCCCTCCCTTTCCCACTTCCCTGCTGATTTACATCCAGTCTTTAAACTCTGGTAATACTAAAGTACACTTTTCTTAAGAATTTACTGAGTACTTATATCATTTAATACTCACAAACCTCTAAGGTAGGTGGTATGAACTTCCTTGTTTTACAGATGAGGGAATGGAAGATTACAGAGGTTAAATAACATGTACAACTAGTGAGGTACCCAGGCAGCGCCTGGACCTTTGTTCCTTGACTCCAGAGCCCACGGATGCGACCTCAGTGTTCTACCAGTTTCAGGCAATTTAAATTCCATGTACTTTTAAAAAAAAATTTAATATTTTTAGTTGTAGATGGACACAATACCTTTATTTATTTATTTTTATGTAGTGTTGAGGATCCAGTGCCTCACACATGCTAGGCAAATGCTCCACCTCTGAGCCATAACCCCAGCCCCAAATTCCATGCACTTTTAAGGAGGGAGATGTCTTGAATATCTGTCTCCTTCATCCCAAAGTTGATTATAAAAAGTTTTTTTTAAATTAATTAATTAATTTATTTATTTATTAATTTTTTTTTATTGGTTGTTCACAACATTACAAAGCTCATGACATATCATATTTCATACATTAGATTGAAGTGGGTTATGAACTCCCAATTTTACCCCAAATGCAGATTGCAGAATCACGTCGGTTACACATCCACAATTTTACATAATGCCCAATTAGTAATTGTTGTATTCTGCTACTTTTCCTTTCCCCATGATTTATTTTTTCTTCTCTGACTTTTCCCTGATCTGCTAATGTGGTTAATAAAGGGTTGAATGTTGAGAAGATTTACCAGCCTGCTCCTTTCCTTATGGAGTTCACAGGTAGTAAAATAAACAAAGTTGGCATTCTTTACTCCAAGTGTCTAGCATCACACTCCGCAGGTGAGCTGGTAAGTGGCTATTTATGTGACAATTTTTTTAATGACTATCCAGTTCCTTCCTGTGGCCAGAAACAACACACCGTTAAGGCACTGAGCCTGTAAATCACAGCAATTATAGGGGACATGGTTTAGATCAAAAAGCAACAAAACCAATTCTGCTTCTGGATCGACACGCTGTGTAGCTCCTTCTGTTGTCCAGTGTAACGCTGGCAAGGTTTTTTCTTTTTGTGTGTTTTCCGTTCTCTTTTCAAATCTGAGATTTTCATGGATTTGCTGTGGACATTGAGGATACATCTGCTTTAGTAAAGGGTGGAAGTAATTTAGGAGTTTTTCCAGATAATTAGAGTAATTGCTTTTGGCTTTGCACCTTTTCTTTTCTTTCTTTTTTTTTTTTTTTTGGTACCAGGGATTGAACTCGGGGGCACTCGACCACTGAGCCATCTCCAGTTCTGTTTTGTATTTTATTTAGAGACAGGGTCCCACTGAGGTTTTTAGGGCCTTGCTTTTGTTGAGGCTAGCTTTGAACTCTCAATCCTCTCGGCTCAGCCTCCTGAGCTGCTGGGATTGGCTTTGGGCTTTTTAAAGCCTTTTATAACGGTGGCTCCAAATTAGGGTCATGAGCCCGAAAAGGATCTGTGTGCCCAGTGGTCCACTGGATGTGGCTGGCAGTAGTGTTTTAGAAGGCCTGACTCCTCTCTTTACCTTTTTAAGTTTCTCTATTATTTTGTGTTCATAAGGTACATGGTATTATCATGGATTAGTATGTGCATGTTTAAGTATTTAATTTATGCTCATTTTTAACTGTTAGGAACCTTCTTTAGCTTCAGTCGTTCATTTCACTTGGCTGACCATGTCTGTCATTCTAACACATCGTCTTTGCGCCGGGGCCCCTTTGGTTTTTTGTGTATATTGTTTTTGATCATAACCCTTCCTCCTGGGGTAACTGCGATGTGCTCTGCCCGGTGTTCTGTGTCACTCTTGAAGATGTGGTACGCTTTAGTGTGTGGGGGTGGGTCACCTGCTGTCCGACTCCCTCCTGGGCAGACCTTCTCCAGGGCTGCTGGGTGCTGTCAGCCTGACCTGCCTTAGTGGTGCACCAGTGCTGCTCTTGCGCATTGCTGAGAGGAGAAGTATTGGTCTCAGGCTCCTGTGATTCAGTTCCCCGTTCAGCAGGCAGGAAGGACTTCAGGGTTACCAGGCATTCTGGGTTATTGAAATATAGTGCAGGCAGCTAGCCCTCCTTTTAGCACAGAAGAGTATTGAGTTGAGGGTGAGAATTCTTTGTCAGAAGGAATGGAGTTCAGTCATTAAATATTTCCTTTGGTAATGTGGAGGCCAGTTGTATTGTTGGCTCTGCCATTTCTTGAACTTCGCCTGGGCCTTCCTTGCTTCCTTCTTCCTTCCATCCTTCCATCTTTCCATTCTTCTTTCTGTCCTTCCTTACCTCTCTCCCTCCTTCCTTCCCTTCCTCCCTCTTGAGGCTTAATTTTCCTCTTCATTCTGGAACCTGTCCTCAGTCTGTTTACAGAAGGCCTTTGGGGCCTTTCTCTTACCCTTATGAAAACACCTGTTGGGAAATTCACTGGGCATCCAAGGGGTTGTTGTTCCTGAGAGGTTGATTTCACCCACACTTCAGGCGCCCTGTTGTGAGCATCCTCTTGGGACTGGAGAGTGCAGCACCTTGGCCTGGGCTTAAAGGATGTTCCAGCTGATCTGAATGGCAGTGCAAGGAACATAACAGCAAAGTGAATAATGATGATTATAGGAATTAAGGCATGAGAAGAGGCTATTATGGAAGGAAATGGCCTGGGAGAGAGAGGAAGTGACATTTTGGCAACTTGGCTGTGAAGAAGGTTTTGATGACAGAAAAAGAGAGCATTTTATAGAAGGATTTTTGGAACACAGTTTTGGCTTTTTTGGATGATGAATAGAGGGTGGAGGAGGCAAAAAATTCAGGGAAAAGCAGAGACGAGGGCTCACGTGTGTGTTTGGGAACAGGACCTGCAGTACAGTGCTTTCACCACTTAGGAAAAGCAAAGGCAATAAAAGTGCAGTATCCCATTTGTCTCTTTGTTCTTGTCCTTCAGCACAGGTGCAACATACCTGACATGTATTTGGCGGGCTCTGTTCTACTATGTATTAGTAGCTTTGGTTCCAGAACTTGAATTACAAAGCAAATGTGGATGGAGGGGGATATCCACTTGCCCACTCTCACCTTATGGTTTGTCAGGGACAGCTTGGTGTACAGCGAGCAGGGGTCCAGGGCAGTCTGTGATTCAGGGGCCCGCCAGAGGAGAGACTGTGAATGGCCAGTGGTGTGCGTGAGTTTCCAGACTGTCCCCTGGACCCAGCGATCTGTTCATGGCAACCCTACAGTGGTTCTAGAGGAGATAGGTGCATTCCTATAGTGATCCCTCTGGAATTAGGAAATGGCCCTGCCTGTGCTCCTCCCACCTTCTGAATGGCTATCTTGTACCTTAAGTGGCTAGAGTGATGAATCTAACACCAAATCTGTCTGGGTTACCCCTAGTGGGACCCTTCAGTGGATCCGACCACACACACAAACACACACGCACGCACACAAGCAAATGCGCACGTGCGCGTGCCAGGATACCACGTGGGGTTCTTCATGCGCTCCTCTCCACCCTCACCCCTGGGCAAGTGTCCGTTATGCGATTCATGCCTCTGTGCCTTAGGCATTTGCCCCTCTTTTTGTCTAGAACATTCCTTCCCCTGAATAAATACCTCTTCTTCTCTAGGATTCATCTGGGACAGCATTTCTTCCAGGAAGCCTTCCCTGCTCKCTTTCCTGTTCCCACTCCGTGTTCCAACATCACACCCTGTTTTCTTTCACCGTTATGCCAACTCCCTTTTATTACAATTACATGTACAGTACCTTCTTGACTTTTTGCATGTGTTTCAAGATCAGAGACCATTTGTGGTTAATTTGTGTTCCCAGTGCCCAGAACAGAGCATGGGATATTGTAGATATTCAGTAAACTGCTGAAGAAAGGCAGGAAATATACAACTTTAGAAGGCTTTTGAATGTACACTAATTTTAAACATTGTATAATTTGCTTCTAGCAAGATATTTGGACTTGCATTGAGTGATCAGGAAGCTTGAGTTTTAGTTTTTATAGTCATCTGCAAGAACAGTTTATAACCTAGTAGATTGTGATGTTTATCTCTTACCAAATGGAAGAGGGCAAAAGTGGAGAGAAGCATTGACCCACCAGGTAATAAACTGTTCAGTTCAACTGCTGTGTGAATTAACCCCCTATACTAGTTATTTGTCTTTTTTTTTCTTAATTTTTTTAAGAGGGAGAGAGGAGAGAGAGAGAGAGAGAGAGAGAGAGAGAATGAATTTTTAAAAAATATTTATTTCTTAGTTTTCGGCAGACACAACATCTTTGTTGGTATGTGGTGCTGAGGATCAAACCCAGGCCGCACACATGCCAAGTGAGCATGCTACCACTTGAGCCACATCCCCAGCCCCTACTAGTTATTTTTCATGGCCTAGTTGTACTTTGTGACTTTGTGACTTCATGGACCTTGCTGTATTCATTGTCTGTTTCTTTCAAGCATTGGATACCAAATTGTGTGTCTCCTTAGAGCCAGGAGAGCTGAGGAGTGTAGGTTTTAAAAAGATTCATAAGAAATATGCATTTCTGCCTTTACTTTTAGTTGGTTCGTATCTCAGAGCTTCATACCATTTTCAGCCTCCAAAAATAAACTGTTTTACCATTTTGTGTTTAGATAAGAAAATGACAGAGCTCAAATATAG